ATGGCCGTTACTGCGTCCCTAATGATGATGAGTTGAGATAGACTATTCTTCAGGAGGCGCATAATAGTCATTATGCTATGCATTCTAGTAGGGAAAAATGTACAAGAATCTCAAGGAGCGTTACTTTTGGATTGGCATTAAGAAGGATATTTTGAATTTTGTAGCGAGGTGTCTGACTTGTCAACAAGTTAAAGTAGAGAACTAGTATCCGTCTAGACTATTACAGTCTATTCAGATTCCTGAGTGGAACTTGGAGCGTATTACGATGGATTTTGTTATCGGTCTTCCTCTGACTCATTCCAAAAAGGATTCTGTTTGGGTAGTTATGGATCGACTCACCAAGTCAGCTCACTTTATCCTTGTTCTGGTTAATTATTCATTGGACAAGGTGGCTAGATTATATATATCTGAGATTGTTAGACTCCACGGTGTTCTATTGTCCATCATCTCTGACAAAGATCCGAGGTTCACTTCTAGGTTCTAGAATGCTTTGCACGAGACTCTGGGTACTTGTTTGAATTTTAGTACAACTTTTCACCTATAGACTGATGGTCAGTCTGAGTGAGTGGCTCAAGTACTAGAGGATATGTTACGGGGTTGTGCGATTGACTTCTGTGGTAGTTGGGAAGATTTCTTGCCTTTAGTCGAATTTGCTTACAATACAGTTACCAGAGTTAGTTTGAGAGACTGATGATACTGTCAGATTGATCTGTGATCAGCTGAGAGAGACGTTTGATAGACAGAAATCATATGCAGATCATCAATATAAGGATATCGAATTTGAGGTTGGGGATCAAGTTTTTTTGAAGGTATATTCGTGGAAGAATGTGTTGAGATTTGGACGTAAGGGTAAGTTGAGTCCAAGATTTATTGGGTTGTATCGTATTCTGAAGAGAGTTGGACCTGTTGCTTATCAGCTTGAGTTGCCTCCCCAGCTCGGTCATATTCATGATATTTTTCATGTATCCATGTTGATGCGATATCGTCCAGATCTAGCTCACATCATTTAGGTTGAAGAGGTAGAGTTGAAACCAGATTTTTCCTATGAGGATGAGGTCGTTTAGATTTTAGATTGGGATGAGAGAGTTCTTTGAAATAGGTGTATTATGATGGTTAAAGTTCAATGGAGTAACCGTGTCCCCTCATAAGCTACTTGAGAGACATTGGAGTCGATGGAGGCTCAATTTCCGCATCTATTTCCATCAAGTAAATTTCGAGGAAGAAATTTATTTAAGGGGAAGAGTTGTCACACCCCAAATTAGGGCCTAAAATTTTCTTAAAATTTACTTCGAGAACTAAATTGAAATTTTAATTAAATTTGAGCACCATAGTAAAATTTTGATTAAATTCAGATCCAAATTAATAAAGCAACTAAAACTGGAGGACCTATAGTAATTATATTATTCTTTCCTAAATATGAGTTTAAAAGCCCCAAAAATAAAAACTTTCCATTTCTGGAAAGTTTAAATCTTACTCCTCTCTCTCTCTTCAACCTTTCCTTTTTTAGTAGGAAATGTTTAATCGATGTTTCATCACCGATTGTTCCGTTTTCGACACCTCCCGCACCATCGTGTTTCTTGCATCGTCTCAAGTCCACTGGTGTCCATCTTGTCTCCGTTGCCACGGGCGTATGAGGGGGTGAGGAAGATCAAGTTTTCGAAATTGCAAAATCGAGCTCTCCGTCATTCAGCGCTGTGAACTGAGCTTGGTAAGTGTCTTAAAACCCCTTAAATGTCTCAAAAGGCTCTAGGTCTTGATTGTTTCTACGAGTCATGCACCAACAACACTATGCTAGAAATAAATAAATGCATACAAAAAGAAAATAAAAGAAGTTAATAAATAAAGAAATAACTTTAACGTAAAACAATTGCTCCCCGCACGTGCCCTCAAGCGCCGCCGCTATGCGTGGGAAAGGTCCACCGTCGGGTGGGCTTATAGAAGCTTCCCGACCTAACCCGACTGTCAGACCCGATCCGACCTGACCCTGTCTGACCCTAATTATATCGGTCAGCCGTTGACCATTGATCGTTGTTGATTTTTTCTGAAAACCTCCATCTTAACATTTTTTGACGTACTAAATCCGATTTTGCAATCCGTTTTACCAAATTATGATCCAAAAGCTCTAAATTGAGTGCGTTAACCTGAAAATACTCAGTATTTTGCTTATTTATTTGAGGCTTGAATATGTAATTAATTCAAGAATATCTTTTTTATGAAGATGCTCGTGTTTCTCCCGACTGAGGATCGATTATATCTGGTGCTTCCCGTCCGTCAGATCCACACGATCTGCGTTCTTCGAGAGTTACTCGTAAGTTTCTGTAAATTTTTTAAAAAAAAGATTATTATTATTCATATTAAGATTCTGATATAGATTTTATGAATTTTAGGATCTAGCGCTGCTGCTGATCATGACTGGCAAACTCGGTAGTAGGTTTTCTTATTAGACTACTCAGATTGGTACATGTGTGTTTCCTGATGGTGTTACATTATTGTTTTAAACTATTTATCTGAACTGTTTTAGATTTATGATGATACTGAATATTTTTACTACACGATACCTGATTTTTTTAATATTGTTTATCTGATACCTGATTTACTGTATATTTCTGAAATGATCTCTGGTTACTTTTTTTTTGTATATGATTTCTGAGTATGGAATATTTCCATGTTTTAATGTATTAAACTATCGTTTTCACTCGAATAGATACATGTTTATTACTGTTATTGGGGGTATTATTGGAGGAAGTATATCAAGCCTAGTATATGACTTGTAAGACCTTATCGCAGACTCTTCTACTTTGCGCACATGGTAAGTCCTTACTGCAGGTTCTTATGCGATATGTATAAGATCCTTACCGGGTGTACAAGTGGGTGTATGGTTCTGGGGAACCTACACATTCTGGTGATCGGTCGGGGTAGTGTTCATATTTTTTTAAACATGTTTGATGAACTGATTTTTACTGAAGTATTTTATCTGTATATTTTTATACACCGTAAGGAGCACACTGAACTTTTTAGCTCATTTTATAAATTTTAACCTTTTCATATAATAACAGACCATAGACTAACAGACTTGGCATCAGGAGGACCGACTACTCCTATTTTTGTACCACTGTATATCTTTATGTCTTTTTGTTATACGTTGGTGACACGTGTTTTTGTCACTGTCTTGATATATCTATATTATCGGTGTTTTGTTCTATATATGTATATGTTTATCGTATGAATCTTTCTTATGGCTAATTCATATTATACTGTTATATGGGTTTTAAAGTTGTTTTAAATATGAAAAGAATTTTTGAATACGATATGTAACCGCCTAGATTTGATCATATCATCTGGGTCGGGTCTAGGGGGTTACATAACCAAATTCATTACCTTATTAAGATATATAATTTAAATTGCAGTAAATAAAAAATTAATATATAATTATAAAAATTATTATTTAATATTTAAAATAATTATTAATAAACTATTAATACAACTAAAAGCAATTTATTATTTTTATAAAACTATTATTTGATATTTAAATTATATTTATTAATAATTTTTATAAAAAATATTGAATTAAATAATTAAAATTATGAGAAAATCCCTTAAGATAGATGGTGATATCTGATTGGGTGATTAAATTCATTGAATTAAATTAAAATTAGAATTAAATTGATACAAGGTACAAGTAATAAGGATTAAATATGTAATTATAACTAAGTTGCTTGATTGATAGAATTAAAGTTATTTTTTAAAAATAAAAAATTCAAAAAATAAAATAAACTTTACACATGTTAGATAATGAATTTTTAATGGTCATTGCAAAAACACTTAAAAGACTAACTTCAAAAACATTAAATACATACTTTGAACGAAAAATTCTTTGGTAAAACATATAATTTAGATACTTATTTTTTACATTAGACTTAAAAATAATTTTTTTATTTAATAATTTAAATTGTTGAATCTTAGAAACTATAAAATAAAGATATAATCATTATAAATAAAAAATAATTATAAAATGATATGATGAATTAAAAAGTTCATTAAACTATAATTTTAGAAAATATTATTATAATTATAATTTAAAGATCAAATGAGATATTTCTATTAGTTTATCTAATAATTTAATATGTCAAGGCAATCCTTTAATAACAATTAAATGTCAAGTCAATCTTTTAATAATAAATAATATCCATTTTATAACAAAATTTAAAATTTAATTTTTATTATATAACTTTAAAAAATTTAATGTCCAAAAAAAATACTTTTGATATAGTTTAATAATCATTTGTAAATTTGATCTTATAAAATTAGTAATATGTTAAAAAAATGTGGTATATATTAATGAAAGATATTCATTGTATAATTTTCTATAGTACTAACTATTTTAATCTAAATTACTTAAGATAGGCGTGTATTAAAAAGTTAAAAATTAAGAAATTTAGTATCTACACTATCAATTTTGATCTGTTTTAGTATCTACACTTTTACCTTTTTCAAAGCCATACCTAAATTTTAATTTTTATTTCATTTTAATACCCATCTATAAGGTTTTTAAAAAATACAAGTCTAGGTACCAAAACAAGTTCAGTACCTAAATCATACTTAAGTTTAAAAAAAATTAAAATTTAAGTACTAAAATAGATCAAAACTGATAGTTTAGGTACTAAACACGTTAAGTTTTTAACAATGAGATATTAAAATGAAACAAAAAATAAACTCTAGGTATGATTTTGAAAAAAAAAATAAAAGTTTAAATACTAAAACGAACCAAAACTAATAGTTTAAGTACTAAATGCGTGATTCAGCCTAAAATATATAAAACAAGGGACACATCAAAGATATTTTAGTTCAACAAATTTAATGATACAAATCTTATATTTGTAATCGATACCAAGAATTAAAATTCAAATCCAACCTGCAAGAACATTTGGTTTCTAAAAATTATTCTTAACATGAACCATCTTTTGCCTATTTAAAGACAACAAAATAAATGTAAAAACTACTAAAGTGAAACATTTATAGTTGAAGGCAAACTAAATAGCACAATTAATGTTGTCTAAATCAAAACCAGAGTAGTTCTTATGGGACTAAATAATCAGTCTCGTCTTTAACACTTTAAAGAGTCATTGTGCAAACAAAAAACTTCAATTACAATAGGTAAATGAGGTTCACAAGTAGAAACATGATGTCATCTTACCCCTAAAAACTGCTACAATTTTCCATCCACGTACAAACCATAATCTCTCTCATATCTTTTGAAAGCCTGCAACATATGAGAGTCAAAATGCTTGTGATATACATGGTCGAAGACTCCGCAATTTATGTATATTTTAGGGAAAAAGAAACACCTATTGCCATGTTGTTTACACTGCAGTACGACTATAAGCTACCAGGCAGCTAATGGTTCCAAGTCTAGGGATGGAAAAAAAAATCTGAAACTGACAAGTTTCTACCCGATCCAATAGGTTGGAATTTAAAAAGAAAAAAGGGGGGCCATGTTAAAGTGATTGATCGATTTCAGGTAGGGTCCCGTTGTCATCTCTATCCAAGTCACAGGGATGAGGGAAATTCTAAATAATAGGATTACATACAAATAACACCCACTTAGGTCATAATACTTTATTGATGCCAATCCTACAACTGACTTATATAATAAGGCAAATGATACGTGCCTAATTGTGAGGGATAAGGCTTGGATCTCATATGGGATAATAACAAAATTTTGAGGTATTACAATGTTCAACCGAGGATATAAAAACAACTAACATAAAGCTAAGCCGCAGCTCAAATGGGAACATCAATATTGCAGTGTCCAATTAAGGCTAGATTAAGCTAGCACAAAGCCAACATGTGCGGTTGCCGGGACTGCAAAACTTAGTTGGATCCCACACAGAAAAGTACGCAATTTTCTTGTGGGCTTATACTGGACTAGGTTCTCCAACCTCAACATATTTTCAGGTGTGGTTCTTCAAAGGATCATATCAACAAATGAGCGCTCACCGAGTAAATTAGTGTTACTACTATTATGAAAGATGAATGCTAAAACAACATCCTCTGAAGTAGACCATTTCATAGCTTTATTCAAGCATTCAATCCAACATAATAAATAGGTATATATCTAAAATAAAACTCGATCAATTTATTAAAATTAGCTAAATAAACCCTACCAAGTAAAATTAACTTTTGAAACCCAAATGGATATGAATATCTACTTTAAAATTTTAAAGAGGGCAGTTATTTCTCACTAAATTCTTCTTTTGTTTCACCATGATTAACTCAAAAATTAGTTTTCCCAATTTTTAGAGAAAACTGAATATCATTCTTGACAAAAAAACTCTCCAACCTCACAAACAAATGGTTTGGAAATTGGTTAGTTACCATAAAATGCCATAATTTTTCAACATAACATATCAGTATCTTCAAATCAATAACGCGATATAGATCGACTTTTCTAAAACAATGACAAGTTACCCAAACTCTATTTTTCTGAAGTACCTATGGATCACATCCGAAACATACAAACATGGATATTGGGATATGATCTTCAAATAATATGGGGGGAAAACTTGGGGAAAAATTAGGGCATACATGTGTCAGCCGTCAGACACATGCATCTGACACTCAACTCCAAGTTCCGGTAACATAGATAATAACACCATAATAAATGGACTAACAGTTAGTAAATAGAACTGGGTGAATCAATGGTGAAAACGGTCCTAAACATTCTTCCATAACACCCTTATAGAAATATAGAATATTAAATAAACTTAGATTTGACCTAGAGCATGTTATTGCTCATAGCGTTAATAGAAGGCCAAGGTCTAAGGTTCAACCTTTTCCCTATCTTTCCCTACTAGCGTTTCCTGTGTAAAGGAAAATGTTCAATAAACTTGAATAAAATAATACTATGACAAGAAGCATACATTGCTGTGCTGAAGGCGACAAAGCACCATTCTCCAAATTAGCTTCCAAGTTCCAGCCTCTGAAATGTTAAGATCAATTAGGCTCCAAGCTAGTAAAAGTCTATTACGCAAAATGCAAAACAAATAACCAACACGAAAAGGTAGATTACCTCTCAGCAGCTTCTCTCCTCAGTTCTTCTACATAGTTTTCAATCTGAGCACATGCAGCATGAATTTCTATGTTTTTCACACAAAGCTCCTTCCATTGTGCAGACAAAGCATTAAGCTCATGTGCAGTGTTTTGCTGACCAGTCAATAATTAATATGCTTATCAGCTTTAATACAAGATTGCACCAAATCAAGATGGGATTGGGCGTAATTGAAATTAAAATCACCTGATGAAATTTTCTTTCACGGTTTACAGTTTCAATCTTCTCATTTTGCTCCTGAGCTAGTTTTTGCATTCTAGCAAGAAATGAGGGAAGAAAAAGAAAGAATATAATGAATATGTTAACATAAACAATATATATATGCAGATAATATGGTCAGAGACTCGGAGGTTAGCATTTTTAGTTTCAACCCCACCACAGTTCAGCTCCAAGAAGAACTTCATGAACTTCTCCCATAAAAAAACCATTTCAAAACATGTTCCTTTCACCGTTTATGCTTTGTCAAAGACTTGGGGGTTCATAAGCTATGCTTCTCTGAGGACCATTGACTCTTAACTACGCCAAATAAGGAGCTTTTAATTATTTTATAATATTTTATTATTTTGGATTTATTAATCAAGTATTAGCTATATCATGTACCACTAGGGCAATTAGTTATTAAGCGTTTAAATCTAGGGCTATGAATAAAATTTTATTTGCAAGAAAGCGTAGTAACTTACTTACAAGAAAGAAAGCCTATATATAAGTTGTAAGCTTTACAGCCAACATTATTTTTCTCAATGTTTTCTTTGAATTTAATATAAAGAAACTAGACGTTTTCTATATCCACATGTTTTCTAGAGTTCCAACTTCTAACTCGTTTTACAGCCTTAAATCTTTTGATCACTGCTGTTTTCTTCCCCTAAACCACATCATTTTCTGGGATCATTCCTCTTCCTAACCGAAATACTTACCTAACACAAATTGATGCTGAATCATGGAAAGGAATGTATAACACATAAGCAGGATATCTACATCCTCAAATTCATTTCCATGTTTCAAAACCAAAAAGGACAGTTTACTGTATATATAAAAGTTGTTTTCAGTGTACAAACTTGACCTCTTCACTGAACCAATGGGTACCAAGCACTGACACCAAATACGATCCCACTTTTAGAGTTAAATTTACTTCTCTTTTGTAGTTTATAACATCAACTCGGCACTTTAGGATTGTACTTGGACCTTTCTTACAGCTTTAGCTTTTGCTCGGTGTATGAAGTCCAACTTCATGTTATGTGTTTAACTATAGAAGGGTGCTAAAACAAAAATACTTAAGCTATTCATAATTAATTGAAATATCTAAAGATAATGAAGAATAACTTTTTATCAGTATTTCAGTAAATGGGGAAAAGAAAACATTTTAATCATATAAGAAATTGTATTAATATATATTTTTATTTCCAATTAATGCCGTATCTGTGTCCTGCTTTTACACATTTTATCCAACTCCAGAAGTCCAAACTTTGAACTAAGTTAAGGTAAAATCAACAAAAAAGCTAATCTGTCAATCTGTTGAGGCCCTTTGGAATCAGGCAAGGTTTTTATGCTAGACATGTTTGCAAAATCTAGAGGCTTTCACTTTAGCCAAGGAAACCAACTAAAGTCTGATCCCTGTATATTGAGAATTTCAATATATGCTAACTGGTAGCACTATATCCATAATATCAGAAAGAGTGCACTTGCTGCCATAAGCCTCAAACTCCAGAAAAGTAAAAGACTAAGCTTCAAAGATTAAATGAAAGAATTTAAACAAGAAGCAACAAAAACCACTTTTGATTTGCCATGACAATAACATCAATGTTGCATTGAAAATATCAAATTAGGGGAAAACCTGGCCAAAAACCCTTCCAATCGTTGGTTGTTCTGTCTCCAAACATCAGGGCCGTATTTTAACATCAACTCCAAGTTTTCCAACCTGAAACCAAGGAACCATATACAAGAAAGAAAAAAACTTAACATGTTGTGCATACAGCATAGAAAGTTATATGTATAAAAGTGTTAAATTTTAGGTGGAATGGCCTCAAGCTTCTGCAAACTTAACTGATGAAGGATTGCTTTCATCACTACCTTAATAAAAAAACAACTCCCAATAAAGCTAGAATCCTTAACGCAATAACAGAGTAAAACTAAAGACAAGAAGCCTATAATTAACTTCTTAATAATTCACAGAAGCAAGGAATAACAATAGCATGAAAGCAAGAAAGATAATTTCTTAAAGAATCATGATCCAGTATTTCTTGATAAATCAAACAACTAAGAGAACAAACTGACCTAGTTACTTGATGTTGCAATGAGCGCTGAGCTCTTTGAAGTGCCTGTTTCCAAGCAGTTTCATCGTTTCTCTTATTCAAGGGCGGCGGTTCAACTTGATACCGTGAAGAAAAATCAAGGGTCACGGGTGGCCTACCCGCCCTAACGCGCTCATATTCTTTTCCAATCATTGGGTAATTCTAAGATCCAAACGCGAATTTCTAACATTTCAATAAATAGAAACCTCAAGTAATCCAAAGAAAATCCCAAATTGGGCGGGAAATGAAAATACCTGAAAATTGAAGGTCGGCAGAGGGGGCAAATCCTTGAGAAAGTCGGCGGGCTTCTTGATACTCCTTCGCATCTCTTCTTCGACCAATCGATCAACCTCTTCCTTGACCTTTGAGTTCCCGTAGTCGTCGTCGATGTAGGGTAATGCGTCCAAAGTCTCGGCTGTGGAAGCAGAGGCCCAAGGCCGAGCAGTGTCAGGCGGTGCCTCCAACATAAGGATCTCTCCGCCGTTGCCGCCCATTGTGTATATCTCAAGCCTTCCCCTTCAACTCTCTAATACTGTTTCCGCTTAAGGGCTTAGTAGTGGTTTTTGCCGACCAACACTAGTATTTGTGTGCGCACGGTGAGGGCTCTTTTTACGAAAATATACTCGTTTTAATAATTAAATACTAAAATAGTACTAAATCTACCCGGAACTCTATCTAATACTCTTTTTTTTTTTTTTTAGAGTAGACATTATAATATTTTCGATTGTAACTAAAAATATCATCTTATCCATACTAAAATATGTATATCTTATATTTTCTAAGTTAAAAAGTAAAAAAAATCTATCAGTGACAAATTTTATTCAATTGATAAACTCATAATATAAGTTGTGAATAAAATTCTTACTGATATATAATTTTTTTAATTAACATAATAACAATTTAAATTCGTAATCGAAAACTCGTTTTTCTCCGTTTCTCATTTTTCTTTTCTTCATCTAGCGTTCATTATTATATCTTTTCACCAAAAAAATCTTATCTAACAGCTCAAACTTGGCAATCTTTCTTAGCCTTCTTTTTACGAATTTTATTTTAGACTTTCCATGATTTAGTGTTTATAGATTTAAAATTTACAATTATAATATGGGTAAATTATGTATTTGGTACTTAAACTATCAGTTTTTATCTATTTTATTATCAAAACTTTTAATTTTTTAAAATTACACCTAAAGTTTATTTTTTATTTCATTTTAATACTCGTCGTTAAAAACTTAACATGTTTAGTACCTAAACTATCAGTTTTGATCCGTTTTAGTACCTAAATTTTTATTTAAAAAAATTAAGTATGATTTAGGTACTAAGCGTGTTTTGGTACCTAGACTTTCATTTTTTAAAAGTTAACAGCATGATACTAAAATGAAACAAAACTAAATTTTATGTATGATTTTGAAAAAAATTAAAAATTTAGGTACTAAAATGTATCAAAACTGCTACTTTATATAATAAATGCATAGTTTACCCTTATAATATTTATAGATAATTTGATCAAAATTATGTGCAATAAAAATGATATGTAACTTCACAAAAATAACACATATTTTTCTTTGGTTTGTTCTTGTGGAGTAGTGCAAATGATACATTAACCTTATTGTAACACCCCAATTTATGGGCTAAAATTAAGAAATTATAAAGTGGTGGATTTAATTTGGTATTTTGAAAGAAACAGTGGGTTAAATTGCAAAATTTTAAAGTTGGCAGACCGTTTTATGAAGTGCAGGAAGTTCAGTGGCTAAACTCTTGGTTTAGCTATTTTTAATTATGAGATGTTATAAACCCCTAATCTCCCGTATATTTCTGGAAATTTTTCCAGTTTTCACTCTCCCGTCAACCCTTCTTTCAATTCCGATTTACTCGCCGTCCGACCTTCGATCGACGAGCCGAAACCACCATCGTGTTCGTTGTCAATCGAGGAACAAAACCCCTCAAACATTTCATCGTGAATCGTCGCCTTTCGTCGTTAATTTCAGTCGGAAGTATTGTCGATAATAACTCAGTTTTAATTGGTTTTTCATCGATTCACGACGATCCGGTCATAATTTTCCGACACCTCCCGCACCATCGTGTTCCTTGCATCATTCCGAGTCTGCCGGTGTCATCCTTGGTCTCCGTCGACGGCGGTGCGTGAGGAGGTGAAGCAATAAAAGTTTTCGATTTGTTGAAATCGAGCTCTCCGCCGTTCAAAACTGTGAACCGAGCTTTGTAAGTATCTCAAAATTGCTCAAAATAATTTTTAGAAATTTTTTCGGGAATTTAGCACTGTTCACGCGCCCCCACGCGCCGCTACTGCGCGTGGGGAAGAAAAAAATGACTTGTTTGACCGGTTTTGCTCCTATTTTGACCGGTTTGACCGGTCATAACCTGACCCGACCCGTTGATCGTTGACCGACGTTGACCACTATTGACCAAAACTTTGACTGGGCATTAAACGACCTTTGACTTTGATCGAGTATACCTATCCTGACATTTTTCGACGTTCCAAATCCGATTCTGCAGTCCATTTTTCAAAATTCAAACCCGAAGTCCTCGAAATTACTGGTCAAACCCGTTGACTTTGATTTTGACTGAAAATTCCAAATTTCTGAAAAGTCATATTTTATGCTTTCGACGTCTTGAATCCGAATACCCTTCTGATTACGTACAGCTTCTGAAAACTGTCCGAATAAGATAATATCCTGATAATTCACATTCTGAATAACTGATGATTCTGTCAGTTAATGAACTCTTTCAATAGTGATTCTAAATTCCAACATTCTATCGACATACTGAAGAACTGTGTTTCTCTGCCTAATACAATACCTCTAAATAATACCTGTAAACTCTGGTGTGTTCCCTAATTACATGAATATTTTATCTGATTTCAAATTTGAATTCTGTTATGATACCTAACCTGGATTCTGATATGATATTGACATGGATTCTGATCTGATACATGACCTGGATTCTGATATGATACTTGACTTGAATTATGTTTTAATTTTTGATATATCTGTTTACTGACGAAACATGTTTTATTGGGGGGTATTGTTGGAGGAAGATTACTTGGAGGTTCCTCGGCTGTGTGCTCAGGGCCTTACTTATCAATTCCTCGGCTTTGTGCTCAGGGCCTTATATGATGTGTTGGGTTGGGTGTATGGTTTTGGGGAACCTACACATTATGATGTGTTGGGATGGGGGTATATATATATATATGTTTTAAAAAGATATGAAAAGTTACATGGTTTTTGGGAACACACTAGAAAACCTATTCTGATCTCCTGAACTCAGTCATCCAAAATATTTCTCTGAACTGAAAGCTCATTGTCCGTTACCACCTGAAATATCAGTAGGATCTCTGTTCAGCATAAAAGTCTGTAAATGTTCGAAAATAATAAGGATATATAAATATTTATCTGTATCTGCACGTTCATCAGCATCATCTGGTAGTTTTGTATTACTGAGCTTTCCAAAGCTCACTCTATTACTAATCTTTTCAGGCTAAAAGAATTGTACCAGTGCAGCTATCGACTTCAGTAAGGGAGTTCTTCCGGTGTTGTTTGCAGAGTACGGTACATGTGATTAGGGGGCATGTAATTGTATTTTGATTTATATACGAGTCTAGAAATCTGTTTTATATTTAAATAGAGATAACTTTAATTTTGTACTCATAAATGCTTTTATGAGTTTACAAGTTTTAAGAAAAGTTTTAAATTTTCCGCTATTTTTATAGTGGGTCGCTCCGGTGGCCCAAATGTGACACCCCGGATCGGATCTGGTTACCCGCATCGGTCTGGGGGGTTACATTTAGTGGTATCAGAGCTATGATTTGAGTCAAAATTTTTCAAGATAGACCGGCTGGTCGAATGTCAAAATATGTCTAATCAGTACATGTCCCTAGACTGCAATCGTACCTCTCTGAGCCGAAACTCCAGGGCTGAGTCCCTATTTGTATCGAGTAAACCAAAGTTTTTATCTGTTAAGGCTGTACTTGTACAAAAAGGAATACCGGTAACATCTGTTTAAACGCTGTGAAGTACCTCACGATCCATGTGAGAGTTATTTATCTGAGAAATTTTGACCTGACTCCGGAAATGAAATTGGGATATGCTGCTGCTTTATGAGCCTATTCTCATGAAAAAGACTGAATTGATTACTCAAGGAAATTTTCGTTCGGATTCTTTTATTGAAATGAGGAAAAATTATGATAAGAATATATGCTCAGCTGGTTAAGGATTAGTGGAGGATCCGTACTTTTGTAAAAGCTACTTAAAGATATGAGAGAACTGATGAAAGTTTTATTTCTGCAATTATGTGACATGAATGAATTTTGAGGACGAAATTCTTTTTAAGGATGAGAGAATTGTAACACCCCAATTTATGGGCTAAAATTAAGAAATTATAAAGTGGTGGATTTAATTTGGTGTTTTGAAAGAAACAGTGGGTTAAATTGTAAAATTTTAAAGTTGGCAGACCGTTTTATGAAGTGCAAGAAGTTCAGTGGCTAAACTCTTGGTTTAGCCATTTTTAATTATGAGATGTTATAAACCCCCAATCTCCCGTATATTTCTGGAAATTTTTCCAGTTTTCCCTATCCCGTCAACCCCTCTTTCAACTCCAATCTACTCGTCGTCCGACCTTCGATCGACGAGCCAAAACCACAATCATGTTCGTTGTCAACCAAGAAACAAAACCCCTCAAACCTTTCGTCGTGAATCGTTGACGTTCGTCGTTAATTTTAGTCGGAAGTATCGTCGGTAATAACTCGGTTTTAATTGGTTTTTCATCGATTCACGACGATCCGGTCATCCTTTTACGACACCTCCCGCACCATCGTGTTCCTTGCATCATTCTGAGTCTGCCGGTGTCATCCTTGGTCTCCATCGACGGCGGCGCGTGAGGAGGTGAAGCAGTCAAAGTTTCCGATTTGTTGAAATCGAGCTCTTCGCCGTTCAAAATTGTGAACCGAGCTTTGTAAGTATCTCGAAATCGCTCAAAATAATTTATAGAAATTTTTTCAGGAATTTAGCACTGTTCACGCGCCCCCACGCGCCGCCACTACGCGTGGGGAAGAAACCAATGACCGGTTTGACCAGTTTTGCTCCTATTTTGACCGGTTTGACCGATCATAACCCGACCCGACCCGTTTACCCGACCCGTTGACTGTTGACCAAAACTTTGACTAGCTTTGACCGGGCATTAAACGACCTTTGACTTTGACCGAGTATACCTATCCTGATATTTGTCGACGTTCCAAATCCGATTCCGCAGTCCGTTTTTCGAAATTGAACCCGAAGGCCTCGAAATTACTGGTCAAACTCGTTGACTTTGATTTTAACCGAAAATTCCAAATACCCGAAAAGTCATATTTTATGCTTTCGACGTCCTGAATCCGAATCCGAAGTCCGTTTCGCAAAATTCGAATCCGGTAGCTATTTTTCACTGATTTATCACCCGATTCGATCCGTTTATCGCAATTAAGCTCCGTTTCTGATATAATTTATGTTGATATGTATCTGAGGAATTATTGGAAGTTGAATTGAAGATTAAAGGCATTCGAATGGAATTTTTATGGTCGATCAATATTGCACGAAAATTGAGG